TTAAAGCAGTGATAATGCTCAAATTAGTGATATTACTCAAATCAGTGATAGTACTCAAATCAGTGATAGCACTCAAATCAGTCATAGTACTCAAATCAGTGATAGTACTTAAAGCAGTGATAGTACTCAAATCAGTGATAGTACTCAAATCAGTGATATTACTTTAAGCAGTGATAGTGCTCAAATTAGTGATATTACTTAAAGCCGTGATAGTACTTAAAGCCGTGATAGTACTCAAATCAGTGATATTACTCAAATCAGTGATATTACTCAAATCAGTGATAGTACTCAAATCAGTGATAGTACTTAAATCAGTGATAGTACTTAAATCAGTGATAGTACTCAAAGCAGTGATATTACTCAATTCAGTGGTAGTACTCAAATCAATGATAGTACTCAATTCAGTGATAGTACTCAAATCAGTGATAGCACTCAAATCAGTGATAGTACTTAAAGCAGTGATAGTACTTAAAGCAGTGATAGTACTCAAAGCATTGATTTTACTCAAATCAGTGATAATACTCAAATCAGTGATAGCACTCAAAACAGTGATAGAATTCAAATCAGTGATAGTACTCAAATCAGTGATAGTACTCAAATCAGTGATAGTACTCAAATCAGTGATAGAACTCAATATTTTCCAAACATTGTGACCAAGACCAGTAGGCAATAAAAAATTGCGTTATTGTAAATTTATAGACATATTTGCAAAATATTGATTTGAAAATGTATTGGGTTCAAAGGATCAACAACATCGCGGACGACCTTGCCCAAAGCACAGTTCACATAATAATGATAATAATCGGCAATATGATTGACACATTCACTACTAAATAAGATGATAATTGCATTGTTATATATTAAATATATTTCCCCAAGTATTTCCACATATTCCAGCTTGGCACGATAATTAAAATCAATCAGTGTTAATACCTATTGTTATCATTATTGGCACTTTAGTAATGAGTTCCTTTTATTTGATGCTCGCGTGAATAATCGCATGTGCAGTTTCTATAAATAATTAGAGCATGCGCATTGAAGTATGTGGTTCTATTGGGACGGGGTTTTAAACATGCATCACGGCTTACATCAGCGTGTGTACCAAGGGAGCGGTGTTTCTATGGCAGTTTACAGAGTCGATACAATAGAACTGTAACGTCGACGTCATCCAATCGTTTATTTACAGCGAAACAAACGTCTTTTGTGGTGATAACCACATACGTTCTTTACTGGGATATTTATGTTTAAATCAAGTCGATGTAGCTCGGTGCATGTCACATACGTTCGGCGATACATGATATACGTGATACACATCTCCGGTTGTCATTGGTAACACTGTCACGGGGAACGTCATTGTTATGGTGATACAACTTAACTATCTAGTGAAATGTACACTACTTGGCATGAAATGGGCAATATTACACTACATGGCAATAACACCGAGATGAAAAAGAGGAATTACGTGACATATTTGGTGCGACAATAGTGTTCACCAATACTTCTGTTTACGCCTAATGAACCGTGTTAATACTATGACTACAATGATATTCTGTGCGTGGGCAATAATTCTAGCATTGGGTAAGTACATTCATGTTGATTGTTTTTATATTGAAAATTTTAAATTCCCAATATAACAGTCATTACAAAGATATTGTCCAATGAATCTGTCAATGTCAATGTTGTAACAACATTACAGTAATCATAATTTTGTTTTATTGCAGTCATGAAAATAACACAAAACACGCTGTGTATGCTCAGTTACCGTGTTTTTGCACTGTTCCACCGTATATTAATACATACATATGAAGACATGACATAAATGGTACATGCAGTTATATGCAATGTTGGTATTTCTATCATGTTGCCTAACTGACAATATGTCACAGTTGAATTCAACACACCATCTGTTAGGGCTATTTACTGTGTGTAATATAAAACAATATCAGACTGAACGATCACGGGAACCATTTATAAAAGCTGGCGGCATTTTTTCTATAAAGCCAATCAAAAATACATAAAATGACATCAAATTTGCATTAGTTCAATTGCCTCGTGATATTTACGACAATTCATATAATGTGATGTGATAACAGTGTACATGTATTGAACACTTATATTATTATATATGCTAACACTGCAATTATAGTGTGTATATGTAATTCAAATTTAATTGCAGCTTAGCCTCATTTTTATTACGGAATAGATAGTGAGAGGTTCAATACATCTATATCACACGGAATCCAAACATGAACAGCGGGACTGTATTTCTTTATGATTCTCCGAAATGCACACATAGTAAATTCTTTATTATAGCATGACGTCACTAAACGTCAACGTAATGCCATTTTTTTTGGACATCGTGGTTTTTAATTCAACAATCTTAGGCGATGATTCTGTCGGATTAAAACCTTTTATCGTTGGTTTCTATGGAGACGATATTTACTCGTATCCCAAAAGTGGCCGTTGTGTCAAATGCTAAATTATGTATCTTGACAGACAGAACATATTTTACCGAATTAAATTATTATTTAAAACCAAGTTTAAAATTAGATTAAAAAGAAACATTGCCTCATTGTGGAATCTACCATAATGTAGTGTTCTTATTCCCTCAAATCGTAGTTTTGAACATATCGTATTCCAATGATGACACTTGTACACTGGTTTGTTTTACTTTAAACGTTGTTATAATGTTTCACAAATATCTGAAGAATATTTACTAAGGTAAACTCATATCATGATAACTAAATGATGCCAAGTATTACCTACACAAATATTGTGATAACATTTTTCGCAACTGACTAATACTGACTAATAGCACAGATTTGGTTTATTGTTTCTAATATCAAGTAACTCCTAATAATGCGACCCGGCACCGAAATAGAAACGAATACAACTTGAAGTGACTGTTGTGCTGGTGTGACAATGTTATAAAAAGCTAAATAAAAATAAATATTTCGTTTCCATGAAACAAATTGTCACGTGAACTATATATTACATAGTTCACACAAAGACATGTAACATATTGCAATATTCAGTGACCATATATTAAATTATTATGTACTTTGAAATGAGTAGCACATTGAATATGCAATCAGAAAGAGAGAGAAATGAACATAGATGTGACGTTTTTGCTACTTTAATAAAACCCATCTGACTTACGTGGATGATAAAGGATTATCTCTCTGCTTAAAAAGACTGTTTATATGATCCGTTGAATAATGGTTCTCGTGTCCGCCCATCATCAGGTTATAACGGGTTAGACACCCACAGCGGATACAAGAGCACATTCTGAGCATTTCTGCTCGGGTCAGCGATGACAGAAAGTCTGGACACAGAACGCATGAGGATACAAAAAGAGATTATTACTCATGAGACAGGAGGTTATATATAATCATAGAGATAAACATATTTACCTCTATGATAAACCTAACATATTTGTAAGTACTTTCATACTCGAC